AAGACGCAGCCGCGGTCAACATTTAAATGAAATTATCTTCAAAAAGTAAATGTCATGAACCAATCTAACGTTTCAAATAAAGAACCGATGAGATTTTGCAAATTTTATGCGTTTTTTTTTTTAAAAAAGTTATCAAGCTCTTAAAAAATCACCCGATAGTTTCATTTTATAGTGCACGGGTGTGGGTTGGGGAGTATGTGCGCCTAATAAGTCAGTAAATCAAATGCAACTTGTATCCATCATGGCTAAGACTAGTTAGACTTTACATGCACCGTTAGTGACTTAATTTATTAACATGACATAAAACCAGTACCGTAAATAATAGTTCATTACAATCGTTTTTCTATCAAATTAATGAGTCACGTTGATTGGATTTTGGTGAATTTTGTTCGAAAGTGATAAAGATAAAACATATACAAACATTACATATGTATATACATACATATATTGAATTGCGATGAGTGTAAAAGCAGTCGAAAACATTTCCCAAAAATTATGAGGGATCTCTTTGAACTCCTCGAAAAAAGATACCAAAAATATTTATCAAAAAAAAAAAATAACTTGATTTATTGAATACTTACTATACCGCCCTGATCATATATGTACGTGATAGTGATGGTAAAGACAAAAATCAAATTTTGTCGGGTCTATTCTTTAGATTTTTGTTTTACTAGATTATAAAATGTTTCGACAAACAATCATGTCTGCCAAATTAAACGTGTCTTATTTTCAACAAATGTATGCATACATACATACATATGATGGTTTTATTGTGAATATGTTGTATTTACAATCTATTTTAGAAAATAATGAACAAATTAGATAACAAAAACATAATCTGATGCATATTATTGATCTACAGTGAGAAATGGGAGATCTAGAATATGTTGTCTTTTCAGTATAATAGTTTCAGTCATCTAATAACGTGACTGCCAAAGGGTTGTCATGATAACTGAATACATACCGAATCTTTTTTTATACTCGCAACAAAGTTGCTAAAGAGAGTATTATAGTTTTGTTCACATAAGGGTTGTTTGTAAGTCCTAAAACTAAAAGAGTCAGATATAGGGTTTTATATACCAAAATGATCAGGGTGACGAGTAGAGTTGAAATCCGGATGTCTGTCTGTCCGTCCGTCCGTCTGTCCGTCCGTCCGTGCAAGCTGTAACTTGAGTAAAAATTGAGATATGATGAAACTTGGTACACGTATTTCTTGGCTCCATAAGAAGGTTAAGTTCGAAGATGGGCAAAATCGGCCCACTGCCACGCCCACAAAATGGCGGAAACCGAAAACCTATAAAGGGACATAACTAATAATAAAGATATTAAAATGAAATTTGGCACAAAGGATCGCATTAGGGAGGGGCATATTTGGACGTAAATTTTTTTGGAAAAGTGGGCGTGGCCCCGCCCCTACTAACTTTTTGTGCATATCTCGAAAACTACTATAGCTATGTTAACCAAACTATATAGAGTTGTTTCTTTTAGGCATTTCCATATACAGTTCAAAAATGGAAGAAATCGGATAATAACCACGCCCACCTCCCATACAAARGTTATGTTGAAAATCACTAAAAGTGCGTTAACCGACTAACAAAAAACCTCAGAAACACTAAATTTTACGGGAGAAATATCAGAAGGAAGCTGCATCCAGGCTTTTTTTAAAAATTGAAAATGGGCGTGGCGTCGCCCACTTATGGACCAAAAACCATATCTCAGGAAGTACTCTACCGATTTCAATGAAATTCGGTATATAATATTTTCTTAACACCCTGATGACATGCACCAAATATCGGTTCACAACCAAGCCTGAAATCTCGATTATCACTTTATCATGCGAGAGTATAAAA